CAGTGAGGACAGAACTGGAGATTCCCCCCCCCCCCCCCAATAGCTAGCAATCCAAAACAGTCCAGTGACACCTTTAAGACCAAGTTTTATTCAGGTCCAAGCTCTCCCTCCTCTGCGAGGACAGATCTGCACGTTCCCCCCCCCCAATAGCTAGCAATCCAGAAGAGTCCAGTGGAGCCTGAGCGGTGGGTGTTGCCTCCTGACACACTTCCGGTGACGTCAGGGGGCGTGGCATATGCAAATGAGTCATGCTAATGAGTCATGCTAATGAGCTCCTGCACCTCTTTTTCTACAAAATGACCCCTGGTCACAAATAAAATAAAAATTTGGAAGTCGGGGGGCCTAGGCTAGACGGGAAGTCGTGGGGGGCCCTTGGCTTTAACTTGGGGGGGCGTGCCCCGAGAGGCCCCGCTGTCGCTACGGGCCTGCCCCCCCTCCCCAGGATCCACCTCCCAATCTCCAGGAACCTCCCAATCCGGTTGGCAGCCACGAGGGCAACTCACCGCAGCCTGGCTGCACTCCAGCTTCCTGTCCTCGGGCAGTTGGCAACACTGGCTCACGCTGGCCTCCAGGTCGTTGAGGGCCGCCCCCTGGCGGCTGAGGTGGCTGAAGCTGGTGTGGGGCAGGTTCCAGGGCCCGTAGGCCGCCTTCTGCCTGCCTTCCGCGCAGATGCCGTCGATGTTGCTGAGGTTGGGGCGGCCTGGCGGGAAGTCGGGCAGGTTGCTGGGGTAACGTGGGTGGCCGACACCGGGTGGTCTTCGTCCTCTGGGGGTGAGGGCAGAGAAATCCGTCTGGGGCTCCCCGTGGACCAGCAGCGGCAGATCAAACACTGGGAAAGGACAGACAGAGAGAAAAGTTATTTTAAAAACCTATTCAGTGTGCTAAATAAATGAATCCCCTTTTTAAGTACGTCTCCGGCAAAGTCTCCGTTCCAAGAGGGTGGTTGTTGCGTTAGAATCTGGGAGACCCAGGTTCGAATTCCGACTTGTGTCACGGGAGCTCGCTGGGTGACCTTGGGTCTGTCACACAATCCCAGCCTCACCTACCTCACAGGGTTATTGCTGTGAGGATAAAATGGAGGAGAGGAGAATGGTGGGAGACCCCCTCTGTCCCCGCTGGGAACAAAGGCGGGTGTAAATGAGGTAAAAATAAAATAAATATTATCTGGAATTTTATTCATTATTTAAACCAAGCTGATGCTCTGCCACTGAGCCACGGCCCCTCTTTACAGCTTTCCAGGGTCTCAGGCGGAGGTCTTTCCCATCACCTCTTGCCTGGTCCTTTTAACTGGAGATGCCAGGGATTGAACCTGGGACCTTCTGCATGCCAAGCAGAGGCTCTACCACTGAGCTACGGCCCCTCTTTACAGCTCTCCAGGGTCTCAGGCGGAGGTCTTTCCCATCACCTCCTGCACGGTCCTTTTTAACTGGAGCTGCTGGGGACTGAACCTGGGACCTTCTGCATGCCAAACAGAGGCTCTTCCACTGAGCCACAGCCCCTCTTTACAGCTCTCCAGGGTCTCAGGCGGAGGTCTTTCCCATCACCTCCTGCTTGGTCCTTTTTAACTGGAGATGCCGGGGACTGAACCTGGGACCTTCCGCATGCCAAGCAGAGGCTCTTCCACTGAGCCACAGCCCCTCTTTACAGCTCTGCAGGGTCTCAGGTGGAGGTCTTTCCCATCACCTCCTGCCTGGTCCTTTTTAATTGGAGATGTTGGGGATTGAACCTGGGGTCCTCTGCATGCTCTACCACTGAGACACAACCCCTTTACCTTCCCTGTCCCCTTCCAGAAAGAGGCTGCCTTCCCAACAGCATTCCCAGCTATCTGCATGGCCAGCCGAGTTCCTCCATCTCCCAGCTCCCATGTGTGCACTGCTGCCCTTTTCTGCCACCTCAAGCCCTGAGCAGTCAAGACCTTCCGTGAACATGACATGACATCACAGCAGCTGATGAAGCTGATAGCCAATCAGCAACTTTCCTGATCAAATTATTCTCTTGGATTGGGAGTTGGGGAGTGAACTTCCACGCAGCCGATTTCCTCAGAATGCACCTCATTTCCAGCATGGGTCAGAGGCAGACCGAGACCCTAGGGCTCACCTTCCCGCTGGTACACAGGATTCATATAAGGGTCCAGTTCCTCCTGGAGCATGTCTTGGAGTGGAATGGGGTCGATTTCTTTTTGGAGGAGGTCCTCTGCGGGTGGCACCTCTTCTCTGTCATCTGAGGGGAGAAGGAAAAACAAAAATAAAAGCTGAAAAGGGAAACAGACAGGCCAGTGCCGGAAAGTCACACCTGGAGGATACCCTCAGAGATGTTTGTTCGCATAAGCAGGATGGAAACAGTTGTTCCATCTCAAGGCTACAGGGTCCACTGCAAGAACTAGCGTGTATGTGTGTAAAGGGATGTCAAGTCACAACCGCTCAGTGGTGAAGACGCTGAACTGCAGGCTGGAAGGTCGGTAGTTCAGCAGTTCGAGACCCGAGTGCCGCATGACGGAGTGAGCTCCCGTCTCCGGCCCAAGCTCCTGCCAACCCAGCAGTTCGAAAGCCAGAAATTGCAAGTAGATAAGTAGGTACCACTTTGGTGGGAAGGGAACAGCGTTCCATGCGCCTTGGCATCTAGTCATGCCGGCCACATGACCACAGAAGCGTCTTCGGACAGCGCTGGCTCTTCGGCTTGGAAACGGAGATGAGCACTGCATCCCTAGAGTCGGATTTGATTGGCTTTCGAGCAAGGGGCAACCTTTACCTTTATAGGGTTTTCAGGGGAAGAGACTAACAGGGGTGGTCTGCTGTTGTCTGCCCCTGCGTAGTGATGCTGAACTTCCTTGCCGGTCTCCCATCCAAGTACTAACCAGGGTCGATCCTGCTTAGCTTCCAAGACCTGACGAGATCAGGCCAGCCTCAGCCATCCAGCTCAGGGTACAAAAACTAATGGAACAAGGTTTCAGTCCAGTGGGCACCATTAAAACCAACTCAGTTTTATTCTGGGTACCGCCAGTTTGGTTAAGTGCGCAGACTCTAATCTGGGAGAACCGGGCTTGATTCCCCACTCCTCCACTTGCACCTGGCTGGATGACCTTGGGCAAGCCGTAGTTCTGAGAAGAGCTGTCCTTGAAAAAGAGCCGTTTCAGTCAGAGCTCTCTCAGCCCCACCCGCCTCACAGGGTGTCTGTTGTCTAATCTGGGAGAACCAGGTTTGATTCCCCACTCCTCCTCCACTTGCACCTGGGTGGATGGCCTTGGGCAAGCCATAGGATAGGAGCTGTCCTTGAAAAAGAGCAGTTTCTGTCAAGAGCTCTCTCAGCCCCACCTGCCTCACGGGGTGTCTGTTGTGGGGAGGGGAAGGGAAAGGAGTCTGTGAGCCGCTCTGAGACTCCTTTGGGTAGTGAAGGGCAGGGTATACATCCAATCTCTTCTCCTCTTCTTCTTCGTGTGCATGCACACTTCTGAAAAAGCACAGAAAAGCTGATACCCAGAATTAAACTTTGCTGGACTTAAAGGGGCCACTGGACTCGAACTCGGTTCCGCTGCTTCAGACCAACACGACTGCCCACCCCGAATCGATAGAGCACAATATAATTTCTGCCCACAGAGGAGTTACACCCAGAAAGCGAGACTTGGATGAAGAAGAAGAGGAGGAGGAAGGAACTTGCTGGGAATTTGCCCCAAGCAGGCAGGCAGGCAGAAAGTTTAACAATACAAAGAATCAAGGAAGGTGGGAGTTTGGAACAACAAGGATGCTTGGCCTGAAACCAGGATGTAAATATGCCGTTCCAGCCTGCCTCTAACCCCCTAGAGTTTTCTTTCCCTGAAACTCCTGGCCCATAAATAATCCATTCCTGCCACCCATATATATATTTAAAAAACAACAACAAAAGAGGTGGCCCTTCTGTGAGCTCAGTCTGATTCAGGAAGCCATTAAGGCAGACAACCAGATGTGACTTGAGACTTGGGAATGTTTAGTCTGGAGAAGAGGAGGTTGAGGGGGGAAGAAGAAGAAGAGATTGGATTTATACCCCAGGGTGGTGAGAGGGTTGGAATCCAAGTCTTAGGAGGAAAGGCTGGAAGAGTCGGGTCTGTTTAGCCTGGGAAAGAGAAGGCTTAGAGGGGACACGATCGCAGTCTTCAAGTATTTGAAGGGCCGCCATGAAGAAGATGAGAGCGTATCTATTCTCTCTTGCTCCGGATTGCAAGACTAGGTCTAATGGGTGGGAATGACAAGGGAGTCGATACCGGCTAAATATCAGGAGGAACTTTCCCGACTGTAAGAGTGGTTGAGCAGTGGAACAGTCTGCCTCGGGAGGTGGTGGATGCTCCTTCGCTGGACGTTTCCAAGCGGAGGCTGGACGACCATCTTCCGGGTATGTTGCAGGGCTATCTTTCGGCTGTGCTCCTGCAGAGTGCAGGGGGTTGGACTAGATGACCTACAAGGTCCCTTCCAACTCTCACATTCTATGATTCTATCTATACGTTTCACATCTCTTGCCCCAAGGCACAACTGCTTGCATGCACACGACGGGAACTCTTGTCTGGAAGCCCGGGATCCGGAAATAACTCATGCCAGAGGCGCTCACCAGGAAACAACACCAAGGCCATTGCATCCTACGCTGGGAGGAGACTCATCTCTTCATCACTTCCCCGCGGGGCACCAAGCAACCCAAAGGACCAGGAAACAGATCGGGGCCTTCCTAACCTTCGGCTCATCTCTCCTCTGCCCAGATCTGGAAGTGATGGAGCACAACTGTAGGAGGCACAGCTTTGTCTGAGCTTGGACCCGAAGCACCAAGAAGCAGGAGAGAGATCCCGAACTCGTGTGTCTTAGAACTGGAAGGGACCTCCAGAGTCTTCTAGTCCAACCCCCTGCACAATGGGGGAAATTCACAAATACAAATTCACAGATGTCTTCTCAAGGAAGACTCTGCAAAGAAAGGCACTCGCAGTCACAGACAACCTCTGCTTCTCACTTGCCTTGACAGTTCCTTGCTGGGGTTGCCATAAGTCAGTTGCAACTTGAGTGTCCTTATGTAATAGCCCCCCTACTTAGGTTCTTCTATGACTCAGCTGAGTGACCCTTCTGTGCCCAGAGGGCTAAGTTCTTTGGTGCAATTGGTGTTCATATCATCAGAAAGATCATAACATGTTTAAAACTCAGTAGTGTTTGCAGCTGAACCAGGACGGGGTGTGTGTATGCCAGTTTGGTGCCCCTAAGGACCGGCGCGCTCTAGGCGAGCGCCTAGTTCGCTTAGTGAGCGAGCCAGCCCTGCTGATGTCCAGAAGCAAGCTGGCAGTGCATGGGCCTGCTTGCCTCGCACCCAGGACTTGGTAGTGGCAGCAATGGGGGGCTGTGGCGGAACCCCTGCTGTGTGTGCAGAAGGTCCCAGGTTCGATCCCCATCATCTCCAGCTAAAAGAGTGAGGTAGCGGGTGACGTGAAAGGCCTCTGTCTGAGACCCTGGAGAGCTACCGCCAGTCAAAGTAGACAAGACTAACCTAGATCCGGAGGGAAGCCATCTTGGAAGGCAGTAAAACAGCTAGATCTGAGCAGTCAAGAGTCAAAGCTCTCTGGCAAGTCTGACCAAGGGAGTTTTGACTCTTGAAAGCTCCTTCCCTGCAAATTTGTGCAGGTCCCTAAGGTGTGGCTAGACTCAGATCAAGGTTCTGTAGGAGGCAGCGTGGCGTGCTCATGGGCGAGATCATGCCCCCCCCCTCTTCAGTGTATGGGGCCTCTTGGCTCAGCCCTTTTTGAGCATCCGAATCCACCCTTCCATTTACCTTTTAACCCCTTAGACACCCAGTGTCAGTAAACCTTGTAACCCTTTCCTGCCTCCTTCCCCACGGTAGCAGCCCAGACTGTAAGTCCTGTGGGGCAGAGTTCCCCCTCTCCTTTGGCTTAGCTTACAGAAGAAGAAGAAGAAGAAGAAGAAGAAGAAGAAGAAGAAGAAGAAGAAGAAGAAGAAGAAGAAGAAGAAGAAGAAGAAGAAGAAGAAGAAGAAGAAGAAGA